ATACTTTTTGGAGTGTGAGTTTTGAGGATCGAGTCTACATGATGGATTTGCTTCGATCTTGTCTGCTCTTTTGCGTTATACGTAGCTTTTTGTTATGATTTTCGTTTGATCGGTTGTAATTGTTGAAAACGATGTGGATTTTCTAGCATTCCGAGCGATTATGGTGTTGTGTTTTCTTGAATTTTGTTTCTTAGAGGCTTTGGGACGTCCTTTTTTTTGTCGTGAAGTACTGATTGCTTGTTAACTGTTTGTAAAAATGTCTCAAAGGTGTCTTTTGGGGCAAAAGACATTGATGTCTTGGAATGGAAAGGGGATTTGCTTGCAGTTGGTGTGACGGAGAAAGATGTGGCCAAGGATGAAAACTCCAAGTTTAAGAATCCGATTTTGAACAAGCTGGATTCGCGCTTGGGTGGATTGTTGTCTGAAGCCTCTGCTGAGGAAGATTTCACCGGAAAGGCGGGCCAATCGACGGTTCTGAGATTTTCTGGTATTGGCACGAAGCGGGTTAGCTTGATTGGTCTTGGAAAATCAGCTTCAAATGTAGCAGCCTTTCGAAGTCTAGGTGAGACTGTTGCAGTAGCAGCAAAGGCATCTCAAGCAAGTGATGTTGCTATATCACTTGCCTCTCCGGACGAACACTCTTCGGTATCCAAGCCAAACATTGCCTCAGCCATTGCATCTGGTACTCGTTTGTTCTTAGCCTATGGATAAGTGAACCGTTTGTTGTCCTACACGACACTGAGTTCTCTCTGTTGCTTGAATGGATTACAGGGACTATACTTGGGATATTTGAAGATAATAGATACAAATCAGAGTCCAAAAAATCTGTTCTTAAATCTGTGGAAATTATTGGTCTTGGATCTGGACCTGAAGTAGATAAAAAGCTGAAATACGGACAAGATGTCAGTTCCGGGATAGTTCTAGGACGAGAACTCGTAAATTCACCTGCAAATGTTCTTACCCCAGGTTCGCTTCTAAGTTGTATGCTTTTAGAATCCATCTGTTACTCTCCTGCTACTGGTGGACCATTTGGTATCACATGTTTTTCAATTTTCCGTTCGCATGAACTACAGTTTCTTAGATTTTTGTATCTATCTCCTAAGGCAAATGTTTGATTTTCAAATTGATGTAACATGTCGTAGTGTTTATTTCATGATTGATGCCATGTATGCTTCTAACTTTGTTATTACATCCACAATTAGGTGCACTGGCAGCAGAGGCTACAAAGATTGCATCAGCCTACAGTGATGTTCTTTCTGCTACCATTTTAAATGAAGAGCAATGCAAAGAATTGAATATGGGCTCCTATCTTGGCGTTGCTGCAGCCTCCGCAAATCCCCCTCATTTTATCCACTTGTGTTACAAACCTCCCACCGGACCAGTATCGACCAAATTGGGTTTGGTAGGGAAAGGATTAACCTTCGACAGGTGCTTATACATCTGCCCGGATGTCAACTTTCCTTAGTAAACGCTGAATGAAATAAGAAATGAATGTGTTTTTAACTTCGATCGAAACAATCTAAAGTTAATATAAGGTTTTATTTATGACCTTAGTCGACACGTATGGTTGGGTAACAATTTGTATTTTTCTTTGTATTAGTGGTGGCTATAACATTAAAACGGGACCTGGATGTTCAATTGAAATAATGAAAACTGACATGGGAGGTTCAGCCGCAGTTCTTGGTGCAGCAAAAGCCATTGGCCAAATCAAGCCTCTCGGAGTGGAGGTAAAACATTTGAGCTGTTCACCCCCTTAATGTCGATAAAATATTAATCGTGGTAATACGTTTTATGAGCTTGTTTTCCTATTTTTCTTGTTTTGAAACAGGTTCATTTCGTCATTGCTGCCTGTGAGAACATGATTAGTGGAACTGGCATGAGACCTGGAGATATTATCACAGCTTCGAACGGAAAGACAATTGAGGTATATCTTGTTTATCTGATTGACTCATGAAAATTGTCTTTGGGCTATAATCATTGTGATCATTTCCGTTTGCATCGAGTTTGGACCAAATTTTTTGTCATTTAGACGACGTAGACTGTGGCTGAGCCGAATGTCAATGCTATATCGGTTCTGTGGGGATGAATAAGAAAGTATTGAAAGTTTGATTGTAATGGTATCGATTCTTTGGGAATGTCCTGCTTAGTTAACAAACATCGAGTTTGGAGACGGGGCAGAATGAATACAAGACGAGGGAAGTTCAGCTGATGAGAATAGGTTCAGGCTCTGTACGGCCATTTTATTTGGTATTTTTTTATGGCGCCCTGTTAAGCGTTAGAGAAATTCCAGTCTTAAGCAGCCAATTTTTTCCTAGTATAGTCGCCATTGGTTTATCATTCCATTATTTGTTCCGGGGCTCGTTAGAATAAACGCTAGTGGCAATTCAATTTAGGTGAAAAAGATAGGTAATGGATCTGCTTGCTTTCGATTACCGATGTTTTTTTTGTACCTTCTCTGGGTACCTACCTTCTGATGTCAAAATTTATTCTCCCCTTTCCCTCGGACAATGGAAAGCCTTCGTTGAATAATGAGAAGCGGGCTAGTCCTCGGTACATCATTTTATTGACCTCTATTATGGTCAATTTTCAGGTTAATAACACTGATGCTGAAGGCAGACTTACTCTTGCCGATGCTTTGGTATATACTTGTAAGCAGGGTGTTGACAAGGTATATATGTTAATACATTAAATTTTGATTATATATGTTAATAAATTGTGTGATTACTAATTGTTTTGGAAATTGGGTTCTCTTCTAATGGGAACATTAAATTGCTTTGCAGGTAATCGACTTGGCTACTTTAACTGGTGCCTGTATAGTTGCGCTCGGTCCATCGATTGCAGGTACAATGATCTTCGGGCATCTTATGCTATATAGTTGACAAGAATATGACATTAGGTTTCTCATGAGTAGAGTTCTTAATATTTTAGTGCCGAAGATTGGGAGAAAAGGAGTCACATCTTTTTCGTTTTTTTCTCCCCCCTCGAAAACTTGGCTTTAAAATTCGAGCCAATAGAAACCACCATGGGTTCACTTAGTGGTCGGTAAGAGTCACATAAATAATAAAGAGCTTAAAGGGAATGAGTCCACGCTTCAAAGCCATGTTGACGACCAACATAGGATTTTATATCCTATGTGTATATCTTGGCAACCAAATGTAGTAGGGTCAAATAGTTGTCGTCTGAGAATAGTTGTGAGGTGCACACAAGCTAGCTCGGACAAACATGGATTTAGAAAATAAGGAGTCAAACTGTCGAACTGAACGGGTCAACTATTCTTAGGAGACAACCATCTAACCCTACTACATTTGGTTGCCAAGATATAGAAAATAAGGAGTCAAATTGTCCCCCCCCCCCCCCCCCCCCCCCCCCCCCCCCCCCCCCCCCCCCCCCCCCCCCCCCCCCCCCCCCCCCCCCCCCCCCCCCCCCCCCCCCCCCCCCCCCCCCCCCCCCCCCCCCCCCCCCCCCCCCCCCCCCCCCC